AGAAAAGAGGGAGGGACAAACAGCGGTTTAGTAGTGTCTCTGCCTGCCAGCCCCTTCGTGTAGTGCACCCATGAGGTAGGGATTATTAGCTCCATTTTACACATGACGAAATGGAGGCTCAAAGCAAATGGAAAGAGGCAGTGTGTTCCATTCTTTTTGTCTCGGAGCTCATGCACTTGACAGTGTGCTAATACTCTCCCCACCCCCTCCATGATCTCATCCGGAGATAAAATAAAGGTGTCTTAGAATAATCACTCATTCACAGGACATTTATTGAGTGTGTCCCATTTTTCAGGTATGGGGCTGGGTGCTCTGAAAACAGAGACGAGTAAGACAGTTGGTGCTGGCAACAGCCACCACAGTTCCCAGAACACTTACTGCCTAACAGGTGGCACCCTGAGCATTTTTTTACCTGTCCTTAAGTATACTCTTTATATCAACCCTATGTTAGGAATTGTTATCCCCACTTTACAGATGAGGAAAAGGGGGTCCAGTGAGGTCCAACAGCCTATCTAAGCTCTGTGAGCAGTCCCAAAATAGCATCTCAGGCTCGCCTGAATTTAACACCCATGCCTTCCCACACCACTTCCATTCACTCTCTTGATAAATCAAGTTTCAAGCCCACAAGGAGTTCAAATTTAGGAGGTGAGGAAACAAGCTGTACAATTGATTATAATATAAGAAAAAATTAGTGCCTTTACTCCCTCATTTCCCAGCTGCCTTCTCTAATAATGAGGTAATCAGGGCTGAAGTCACAACCACTAAGCTACAACCTTAATTCACTGTTGAGTTTATGCATCCATTATCGACTTCCTGCATCTCTCTGCTGGAATTAAGCTTCTACCTCCCTATAATAATAATTGGCTATAAAGTTATGTATATGACTTTGAATAAGTGAGCTGAAAATCCCATATTTTTGCATTTTATGGGAGGGAGAGAAGACCAGACTAATATTTTCACATAACAGACTTCCAAATTAGGCAAGAGTTTAACATTTAGGATTCACCTAAGCAGTGGAAGCTATCCTTGTGAATTTTTCTACAGTTCTTTGCTGCTCTTGCTTCTTTAGCAAGTCCCTTGGATTCTGTTAATAACTTTCCTCCTCTAGTCAGAGATTTAAGGTGAATGTTTACAGACTCAAAAACCCTTACAGCCCATACATGGTCCAGCTAAATATCTTAAATCAATGTACCGGCAGACACCTAGCAGTGCACAATCAAAGTGCACTTCTATCATGAGGGTAGCAAAGTATAAACAAATCATTAATGTCCTCCTGGTTACCTACTCCTGAGAGTACCTGCCAGATCAGCTTCTACATGGGCCCTTTAAAGAAGAGAAATATTATTTTATGGGGACTAAGATATAAAATAGGGCCAGAAGGTTAATAGGAGTTTAAGAGGAGCATAGGGTTATCTTAGCAATTAAAGGCTCTCCAAGAGGTTAATCACCCACACACAGCACTTACAAATGGCACATGTATCAACAGTTACAAAAACTTGTGTGCAGAACAGAACTCTAATCTGCACTCTGGATGATGTTTGTTTGTTTGTTTGTTTGTTTATTTAGTGGGGCTCAGTTAAAGCGAAATTCTTTCCATGATCCATTCAGAAAAAAAGAAATTGTCATTTAAACTGTCACAGCAGTGTTATGTGGGAAAAAAAACACAATGTGGCCAAGAATTATACAATTGAGAGAGAGAGAGGGAGGGAGATTTAACTGGTTTCTGTAGCAGGGGTGTTTACTAAATGAAAGAGTGTGTATGATGATGGGTCCCTGGGGTGTGCAGTGGGCACATTGGTTTGGTTCAAATGACCTGCAGTTTTAAAAATCTCCATTTTGAAAACAGAAAAGCCAGTGTGCTGTTGCTTGGCCAGAATCACGAGGGCTTTGTACGAGACAACAATCCCCTTTGAACCACTGCCTTTGCCCTACTGAAATAACTCTAGGCCCAGCACGGAACCGCGCCTGTCCAGGGTGCCATGTCAGCAAACTGAAGCTCAGGTAACTTTCATGACCCTGTAAATGCTCTGCTTGACCAGAAACGCAGCATATCCGGTCAGTCAATCCCAGCCGCCAAACCAACCCTGGGCCTCCGCGCCCCGAACAAGGCCTACTGTGTGGCCCCGGGCAATTACGTGCTTCCTATTTCCTCTTCCTTGTTGTTTATTCTTTAAAAAAATATATTGGTTTTTAGAGAGAGAGGAAGGGAGTGGGGGAGAGAGAGAGAAACATCGATCGGCTGGCTGCCTCCTGCACACCCCCTACTGGGGATCAAGCCCACAACCCAGGCATGTGCCCTGACCTGGAATCGAACCAGCAACCTTTCAGTGCAACGGAAGCTGCCCAACCACCCGAGCCACACTGGCCAGGCTGCTTTATTCTATTGAAGCACCCTGCCTTCACCCCTTTTTTGCTGTTCTCTGAATGGAGACAGTCTGCTTCATGAAGTGTTAAATAAAGTTTGTTTCTATCACCTAAACAGTTTTCTTTAATCATTTTTTAACAACACTCATTCAAACCACCGTCACTGTCACCTGGCTCCCTCTAAAACACCCCATAGTCTCTCCACTACTTGTGCCCTGCTCCAGCCTGTCTCTGCCTAGCAGGGCAGCCATCCACCTCTTGCACTGGATGTCACCGTCACCCCATATCATGTCACCTCTGCCTGACGGCTTTCCACTGTGCTCAGAAAATTATTCAGAACCATTACCGCAGCCCTGTGCTTTCTCCAACTTGATATACTATCATGTTTATGCCCCTCCACCTTTCTACCCTTAATCATGCTGGCCTTGGTGGTCATACTGGCCTTGAACAGGATCTTGGCTTCGTGTCACTAAGATGCACCTCTTTAAGAGGCCCTCTAACCAGTCTATTGAATGTCGCCCACCCCACCCCCCTCAGGCACTTCCACGGAACCTTCTCTGAGCGGCCTCAGGGAGCTTGTATCTGAAGTCATAGCATTTACGTCTTTATCACGCGTCTTCCCCTCCTCCAGGTTCACTCTGTATCCCCAGCACGCAGGGCAGTCCCCAGAACACGGCGAGTCCAGTGGCCGCGCCTGTGCTGCTGCTGCATGTCGGCGCCTGGAGCTACGATCATCTTGGAATGTGGGGATGAAGCTGCATCTTTAGGAGGCTCAGGTATTATGACACCATATGACAATAATTAAAATGACGGTGGTTATAACTACACTTTACTGAGCATCTCCTTAGCACCAGATATTGGACTGAACGTTTTACACATATTTCATATTTGAATCTCCCAACAGCCCTATAAAGTTGTTATGAACGACTTCCTTAGGCAGATTATACCAGACACTAAGAAATGATGTTCCAGATACATCTGTGTCAGAGGCTAAAGAACCAAAATGTTTGGTCATTGTTGATGTAAATCTGTAGAGGATATGAAACCATTAAGGGTTCCTTTGGGAAGTAAATTCACATGCCTGGAAAACACTCTTGTGTTCTTCTCTACAGTCACACTCTGCACCACACACCCCCCGAGGACACCACCTTTCCAGGGACACGCCAGTAAGTGATGGCAGGCAGATTCCCCAGCTAATGAGACAACCCTCCCTTTTCCCTGCTGGGAGGTAGTGGGTTCAACTATCTGGGAACACAGCCTCTCCAGGAGTCCTGGACTCTCTGCTGCAAAGGCAGGGAGCCCATAAATGCAATATAAAGTGTTATTATTCTGGCAAACATACTCTAATTCTGGACGAGGTACATACGGCAGCCCATCAGTGTAATTTTGAAAAAAAAAAATTACCTTTTGGCAGCCTGGAGTCCTTCATCTTTATAAGATGATAGCAGTGTTTTAAAAGGGTTATCAGAACGCTGCATGATAATAATAATCCTTTATTATGTATAACGTTTTAAGAGTTTGAAAAATACTTTGATATAAAAATAGAAGATTTGATCCTAATAGCGATCCTTTGAGGTATATGGATTAGTCATTATTTGTTACATTTCACAGTAGGGGAAACTGAGGTCCAGGGCAATCAAACAGGTTCCGAGGCTTCACTCAGATCACGGCAGGGCAGCTCCAAGACCCAATGGCACTGATTCGTTGCCCACTGTTCTTTATATGTCATTACTGGTGAACTGACTTAAAGGAGAATAGCAGAGGGGATTCAAGGTGTGTGTGTGTGCGCGCGCGCGCGCCCATGGGCATGAGTGTATGCCAGGAGGACCTGTGAATTCCAGTGTTTCTCGGGGCCTAACAGATCATCTTAGAAGCACGGACACACTGCAAAACCTCAATAAAGCCACAACTTCTAAGCACTGTCATCTGCTCTGTACCAGACGATCACACCTAAACCACAATGTCAGGCACAATGCTCAGACTCCAAGCTTCTCAGTGAAGATGCTTGATACGTACAGAAACTGTTCCACAAAGCTCTTTCATATCTATTTTTTCACCCTTTGCCTTATGGTGTGTTTTTTTTTCCCCTTCCAGAAATAATGCTCTTATAGTTTATAATGCTGCTGTTTCTGTCTTAATGAATTATCGGAGTGTATTTTAGAGTTTCAGAAACAGTCATCTCGGGCAGTGAATCAACTCACAGCCCTCTCTTCCTCAGCCCTCTCCCAGAAAACAAGAGGAACAAAGCAAGACACTTCCCAGACGACGCCCTTCACTTCACCAGAGCACTGCTGCTCCTCTTTACATCGGAGGCCGCAGTGGCCCTGAGGGCTCCTCCGCTCCTGAACTTGCTTTTCCTATTGTTGACCAAGGAGCCTGACGTCAGGGCAGAGATGTCCATGCATCTGCTTGTTTGCAGCAAAATGCAAAGGCTGCTCTGCCACCTTGCTCAGCACACAGGAGGGCATTCCGAGCAACGTACCAGAAGTCTCCAAATTCAGAACCAGTCAGCCCAAGAGAAGCAGTTTCATTGTGGAAGCCAGTGATCGACGGCATTAAAGTTCTAGTTTATGTGGAAGGTTAAATTAGTTTAGTGAAAGTCACTTTTAATAAATGCCAGTTCCCTCTGTACTTACCTCCAGGAAATGTTCTGCCTGTTGTTCTCGATCCAGTTTTCTTGAAGTTGTGGTAATCAGACCTGTGTAGAAAGGAGAATATTTGACTTTTAAATATCTGGGGCGAGTGGATTACTGAGCATGGGAAATAAATCCAATTAAAGCAAAAGCAAAAGTGATGGGAACAATAATTTTCCAGTCCCCAGTGGCAACTAGATGGTCTCAGAATTATCTTTTATTTTGGAGGGGGGGATGAGCAATTTAGGAATCTTCAGAATTATTCTTAAAACAAAATAACATTTAGAAAGAAAACCTGAAAAATGTGTTAGGGTTTCGCTTACCTCAGGTATTATAATCACTTTGGGGAGGTAAAAACTCACTAAAGAACCATTGTTGTTCTGATAATGAGGAGTTTCAATGATTTATTTGCATATGACTAAAATTCCGTAGAGTTCAGAGTTCTTGAACAATTAATACGTTGTTGATGCCTATTAGATTCAGGCTATGAAACAGTACTTTCTTATTTAACTTTTTTAATGCTTATAATATTTTTTGTTAAACTTGACAAAGAAGGTTATTTCTGTAATAACTATTGTACACAAAATTATTGCAAATTTAATCACTCACACACCTAAGATTTCATACTGTAATTTTATCATTGTATTATATGTGTTTAAATCTTCACACAAAATAAGACCCTCATGGGAAATATCTATCCTTCCTTTGAATGGTGCTTCTCATAAATGAATCACCCCCTTGAGTATAAAGACAAAGAAAAGGGAACAAGAAGACAAAACCTTCAGCCACCCAGCTTATTGCACCCATTTGTCTTCGCAGTTTTTATTATTATTATTATTGTCAAATGGCAATTAGGAGGTCAAACTTACATTCCATTTCTTGATTCTACAATGTCCCTAAAGACAAGGGACTATGGATTGGGCTGTTTTCATGACATATACTGATTGACAGGAAATCACAGAGAGAAAATCACATGAAAAGCTCACTCCCAAGGCTGGCAAGGTATGTGAGATAAGGGAAGGTATTTTACCGAGGTTGGCCTAGGGTCTCATGACCTCCAGTTTTTATTTTACACAGAAGTGGTGGGTGGGAGTATGGGGTGGGCTTTAGAGAAAGCCAACAAGAGGCCACAGCAGGTTAAATGACCTTCAAAATGAAATCCCACTGGGAGGAGCAGGGCTCTTGACCAGCTGGTCCCCCCTCCTCACTCTCATCTGTCTACACTCCCATGGAAGGGAAACCTATGTTCCCATCACACAAATGACCTGCCTTTCTGTGGCTTCTTTCTGGACTATGCCCCACTTCACTGCTTCACCCACAGACGTTTCAGCTTTAGGTCAGGGTAGCTCAGGTGTTAGGGAGGTGACCTCTCTCCAGGGTTAGGTGCCCACCTGCCACACCCCAACAGAATGGGCATCCTCCACCTTCATTGCTCTTGTCCTCTATGAGCACCGTCATTTGCTCATATGTCTGCATTTTCCCACTAGACAGGGTGACCAAGTTCCTTCTTGGGAAGGACCTGCCTTTTCATTCTGAAGCCCTGGTGCCCACCTAGCTCCTGGCCTAAAACAAAGAATGGGAACTTCATTAACTCTCAGTTGACAAAAATTGCTCTGAAAGAGAGAAATTATTTATATTCCAATCTTCAGTTTTGCTACAGGCCTGGAATGTGTTTGCTCAGGAGGGTACCGCCTGGTGTGTGGGGAGAGTGTGTGATGGTGGGCAGAGGATATGTGCCTTTAGCATTCATTTGAAGCCAGGGTTGAGGTCCTCCCTGCGAATGGTGAAGGGCTCAGCGCTCTTGGATACAAAGATGAGCTGTCGTTCGAGGGTATGGAGAGAAGACTGTTATCAGGAATCAAAGTGAGAGAATCAGTAACTTCTCCAGCTCCCCATCAAAACCTCCCAGGAATCTCAAAAAACAGGTTCCGTGTCCCACTCCCAGCCCTCCTCAGCTGCATCCGAATCTCTCGGGGTGACCCGCTGATTCCGAGAGAAGGCTCTATGTAACGCCACGACGCTCTGCTGGATCTCACCGTGACTCTGTACTGACACTGACGTTTCTGCTCAGCCACAGGCAAGAGGGAAGCGCTCAGCTGTTCCCGCATCTGAAGCAAACGGCGGGGCTCAGTGTACACATGGGGGCGAGCCAGGGGGAGATAGAGATGCTGTGCGGGTGCCCCGGTGGGCAGGGCGATAAAGGGGGAGTAAAGGGGAGCACGGCTCTAACTCATGTTGACTGTGGGCCGATGTGGTCCCACCAGTGGGTGTCTAATGCACCAAGCTGGCGCCTTCATTTTCAGGATATTCTATATACAAGGTCCTATGTCACAGAGGCTCTTTCCAAGTGAGAAGTAACTGTCTTCTCAAAGGGCGGCGGGAGGCTTTCCCCTCTTCGGGGGGCGTTCTCTGTGAGAGATTACAAGGGGAATGAGAAATACTTGTTACACTGAGGCTCTGAATCGGTGAAGGGCTGTCAGCTGCCACTCTGCTGCTTGCCTGCTGCTCTTCCAGACAGAAAAGACCAGGAGCCCTTTGTCCTCTGCTCCTCTGAGGACACTCGTGTCATTTTAGGTCCTACTCACCCGGGTCATGCAACCACAGCCCGCTGTGGTGTAACTGGGCACAGGAAAGAGGTCAGCTTCCTCCCCTGATCATTCTTAGGGTCATTTTCTAGTTAAATATTTTCACAAAGTACAAATATCACTGGGAGAGCAGTGTGACTCCCCTCCCATCTGTATACCTTCACCAAGATGTTTTTCACATATTTATCAGCCAACAGAGAAAGCTACAGGCTTCCTGAAAAGTCTGAAACAACATACACAGCAGTGAACCTGGAGCTGTGAGAGAGGCGAGCAGTTTCTGATCCTGGAAGTAAGGTAGGCCAGCCTCTGTAGGCTTCAGGTCTCTAGGTTTGTATTGCCTTTATTTTCACAGAAATAAGGTAAAGGTATTTAATTCAAAAGTGAAAATTGGTAGGAAATCAGATGAGGTAGGCTTGGAGCAGGGAATGACTACTAATGGGTACAATGTGTCTTTGGGGGGTGATGAAAATACTCTAAAACTACAGATTATGGTAATGGTCACACAGTTCCATAAGTATTCTGGAAAACACTGAATTGTATACTATAAATGGGTGAATGATATTTTAGGTAATTATACATCAGTAAAGCTGTTTAAAAATCAGTAGGGAATCATAACTCTGTCTTACAGATTTTAACAAGTCTTTGTAGTTGGAGAAGACAGACATTTAAAAATACTTGAATGAATGAATGAATGAATGAATGAATGAATGAATGATGGGGTGAGTGAGTTAGCTTAGGAACAGGCATGAAGATGGGTTGGAATGAACAGAATGATCATGGGGATCTCGAACATAAAAATAATGAACAAAACATTTTGGGTTAAAGCCACAACTGGCAGTTATTTGCACTGAAAAAAATAAACCTTATCAAGCAGGGCCAGCTAAACCAGAAATGGACAAAAGCTTTCTTCCATCTAAAGCAGTGATTTTCAGCCTTTTTCATCTCATGGCACACATAATCTAATTACTAAAATTCTGCAGCACACCAAAAAATATATATATTTTTTGCCCATCTGACAAAAAAAGGTATAATTTGATGGATTTACTACTACTACTACTAATAATAGTAATTACCAACTCTTTTTACTCCAAAGTGATTTTTTAAAAAATCAGGTGCCTAAGAGACTGACACATCTCAGAAGGAAGGTGGGGGTGTGGGAGCGGGTGGGGAGAGATTAATCGAAGAACTTACATACATATATGCATAACCCATGGATACAAACAATAGTGTGGTGAAGGCCTTGGAGGGGTGAGGGGCAGATGCAGGGTGGAGGGAATCAATGGGGAAAAAAGGGGGGACATCTGTAATACTTTCAACAATACAGATCAATTTTTTAAAAATTAAAAAAATTAAAAATTAAATTTAAAATCAGGTGCCTATATTTTTATATAAGGATTTCTGGTATCAAGAATTAACCAATCTGGCCCAACCATATTATGCGATGTGACCAATAAGATGCAACTCTATTGTATGACCTATATATAGGGTGTCCCCCAAAAATGTACACACACTTTAATAGTTGTAGCTCAACTGATGTTTCGTTCTTTTGGGATTTAACCCATTGGAATTAATAATTATTCAAAGTGTATATACATTTTGGGGGGACGCCCTGTATTTACGGTTCAAGACAGGTCATTCACACCAGACTACTACTGTTGTGTTGGCTGTTGTCATTTTTTTATTTGACAATCTAAGGGAAAAGAGGTCAGTGCCCCTGACTAAATAGTCAGGTATTGCATGCTTTAAAAATTCTTGCGGCACAGTGGCTGAAACTGCTGGACTAAAGGAAAAAACGTAGGATGAGCTGTGGTGCTTGGGCACGGTGCACGGTGATTTTTACAGGCAGAAAGGAATGCAGTGAGCCATCCCTCACAGTGCAGGGGAATTAGTCAAGATGGCCAAAGCTGCATCTTCATTTTTAACAACTTTGTTGTAGCGGAATGCAGTTGGGCTTTAGAAGAGGAAGGAAGATAAAAGAGAGCAACCTCTCTTGGCAACTGCTGTGATTCATCACCGTGGAAGGCGACCTCATTGTAATCTCTGCAGGAGACAGGCATGTACATCACACATGTAACTGGAGACCCATTGGGCACAGTAAATTGGGGACTGACATGACGAAATTGAATTTCAAAGATAAATCATAGGCAAGCTTTGGAATGTGGTTCAGAGATATAAACAAACACATCATTTGATATAATTACATCCGCAAACCTCCAATTTAGGAGGGGCGTGATGCCAGGCCCGAGTGACTGATGCCCAGTGAAGAAGGCGGGAGGGCACACGGCTGGGACCGTGCAATTACTTTAAAAATGGCCAGTTTTGATTTTTTGTTGTGGAGACAGAGGAGTCTAACAGTCTCTCTGAGAAACAGCCTGGCTGCCGGTTCGAAAGAGAACTCAAGATGTTCTCAGTAGTTACGGTGGGAGAAGTGATACTTGTGAGGATGACGCCTTTTCCCTGCTCTCTCCCCGTGGGTGTCC